GTACTGCACAGTGGTAGCTGTTCATTAAAGTTGGCCAGGTATATGTCTCTCAATAAATTAAATTTGAATGGAAGAACTCATTAAGGACAATACAAGTCATCACAGAACAATTATAATACTTTGAAGTAATATAAACACACGAGTAACGCGGAACTTAAGTTCAATGTGTAAACTGTAAGCAAATTAGAATTACGTTAGTAGTCAAGTCACTGGACCAGCAAATTTACACTTAAGAGGAACGTAAATTGCTGAAACCTGCTTATTTTGGAATCCAGGGCATTTGAATATAATTTCTACTTCAGGCAGCTTTCCATATAACACAGGTATGTGTTTCTGCATATCAGAGTGCATGAAATACGTACATAAAAGTGTAGTCGTATCTGTTGTTTTGTATGAGTGTGAAACATGGTATCTTTTATGTGAGGGAAGGGGAACATTCATGATTTGTGAGAACGAAGTGCTGAGGAAGGTAATGTGAACCAATGGTATTGTGATGTGACATATGGCACGTGCACACGTGCAGTATCCACGTGAGAGATAAGAAATACGTGTACAGTTTCTGTCGGAAGTATATGGTGTACTCGCAGTTTCATGAAGATGTGGCTTGGATTTTTTTTTCTCAGGTTAGAAAACATTGGTGGGGGCTTATAATGATGAACCTTCTTTATATTTCATAAATCAGGAACATCTTTAGTGTTGAACAAGATTCTCACACATGGAATTAGTTAAAGGAGGGGTTCTCAAATAACCTTCCTGTATTACGTGTTGAAAATTTCAGGGAAGAGCTGAGAATTAGAAAGTTTAAGGAGTGAGATTTGCGGTAGGCTGTCAAATGTCGTCCTTGTATTGCGTCCTGAAAATTGCTTCAAACTACAAAAGTAATTATATTTACTTCACAGCACATGCTTATAGTGTGACGCATACACATTGCTAGGCAACAGCCCGCTAAACAATAATATGATGACTAATAGTCCATTGCTAGGCAACGGCGTGGTGAACAGGCTTCGTCAACAATACAGACTGTTTTCCATTTGGTGCGTGCAAAGTGGTTATAAGAGAAGTGAATTCAGAAGCTGGCAGTAGTTGTAGGATTTAAGAACAGTAGTCGAAAGAGAATTGGCTCGAGTCTTCGGAATTCCAGCTGCAAGAAATGGCAAGAACACTTCCTAATGATTTTAAATGATAGTTTATGTGATAAGTCCTTTGCCAGGAAACGGTTAGCATGTCTTAGTTGTGAAGTGGGCAAATTAACGAAAGCGCTACTCGTATAATTGGTGGTGAATAAGAGAAATTGTAAACGAAGGTGTTAATAAATCCGATAATCCAATCCAGGATACGTGACTGTATAGACAAGAAATCATGTAACTACGACAACAATCCGCCCCAAGATTGGTTAAGTAGTGCCATTACATCACCGCAGAGAAGCATCTGTGCCCCACTCTGCCTAATCCTTCTAATCAATAAATATTGATTAAGTCCCTAAACAGCATTAATCTGTTGGTCTCAGTAATGGAGATGCGGCAGGTTGTCTGTCAAGTAAGAACATAATTTTTAAATATTATAGGAAGATTACTGTTTCGTGGGGTGCAGCGCCGTGTAGTATGATAGATAGAGATAGCAGCATTTCGGAGTAACATACTGCCACCATATTAAGTAGAGCCAACTTTAGCGGACAGAGGGTGTCGCGTGGTTAGCGCAACGAATGCCCACGGTCGTTAATTTCGGTTTCCTAGACCGGAGCCGCTATTTCCTTGAAATAGCTCCTCAATTATCCTCACGAGGCTGAGTGGACCCTGTTCCAGACCAACTACTTCTTAGGAAAAAATCTGGTAGCGCCGGAAATCGAGCTCGGACCTCAGGATCTGTAGCTAGGAACTCTGACCACTAGAACAGAGGCGAGAAGCGGCGGTCGCTCGGTCGGTATAGTTCGCTTGTGGACTAAAATCACGGAGTTATACCCAGAAAACAGTCGCCGCCGTGAGGACCCCAGATCTCGCATCATTATTCTGAATTTTAGACTACAGAGCGCCAGTACAGTGGATATCTTAATAACTTCAGACATTTAAACTTTCGTTTACAGAGTTTGCCCGTGACAAGGCAGCGGCACACCCGCGTAGTTTCCTATATATAAGGAATAAGGTCCATATTTGCTTTTGTACGTCTGTCCTGTGGACATATTGGGCAGTCACCGTACATGAAAGACAAGACTGATGTTGAAGACGTGTTTTTAAACAGACCTAGCATCATTTCCCTTAAATGGCTCCAGGCTGTTGAACGTTGCTTTTCTTCGCTCTACAGGAATGTGTCAACCGGAGAGGTTATATAGCGTAGAATTGGAAGCTACGTCACGATTACGAAATATGAATTGAGAAGTACGGGGGGGCCCAAATTTTAGTGTGTTTCAGGATAATTCCCCTATCCTCCAACTAGTGTCGAGATCAAGAAAATGTGGATCTATACATTACTCCCCCATACGCCTTCATGGCGTAGTGTTTAGTTAAGCACAAGAAAACTTTGAGGGACGCGGTAGCGTAGTTGGTCGAGGAACTATGCTACAAGGCGGAAGGTCGCGCTTTCGAGTCCCTATGAGGTGGGGTTTTCTCAGTTTGCCCAATCCTTCCAGCCGCATTACGACCCTGGTGTCGACTCAGCCTCTGTCAGAAATGAGTACCAGAAATCTTCCTGGGTGATAAAGGGCGGCCGGCGTGTTAAGCTGACAACTTTACCGCCATCTATGAGCCGATTCTATAGAGAAAATTTGAGAACCTCGACGTCTCAAATCGTATGTGCCTTCTCGGCCTGTTACGTGGATAGCAAGAGCAACCTTATCTTAACTTTTACCTTACCCCTATCCTTGCATACGTTTATAGGACAGAACAATTATAGTTGGTGTATAGACATATATGCTGACCAACCGGTCAGTAATCGAACTTTTTAATCCCTCGTGTGTGAGTCGGGCGCTTTTCTTATGTACTACGAAAAGTGAAGGAAATCATGTTCTTTGTGCCTCTCGTTTTGTTACCGACAGGGACTGGAGTTTCCCTTTTTGCCACGAAACGCTGCTGCCTACACGGCGCCACATCCCATCACTGCCGTCAGAATCTCAGTATCGATGCGATTTTCATTGAGATTATAAAACCTGGGTCTTTGTAAACTCACAGATTCAAGTGTCGACCCGGAAACTGGCTGTGCTTACAGGTTTTGTTTGGCTTTCCCCGTCCCCTCCAGATAGCGGAATATTATATGAAGTTAGTTCACGACCGTCGCCTTCCTCAGCCTTTCAAATCCATTGTGGATATATATGATTTAAACTTAGGCGAATTTTGCATTAACACGATTTCATATGTTTTGCTGCTATTTTATGAGGACTATAAAAATGAAATGATTTGTCTGAAATAATATCAGGATTCGTATAGATTTAAGTAAAGATTCCGATAGTGTCCCCTGGTTTGTGACATCATGCACTCTGTGTGTACCACCAGTGTGTACCACCGTTTCGAGTGTGTAGGCGTTAGGGTTAGCATAAATCGTTCTAACGTTAGGCCTATTGTAATTACGTATTTTTCTATGAAAATTGCAAACAGCGAAACAAAAAGTAGTAACAGAAGAGAACAGATTCTAATGACACGTTTCACTCTTTGGAACCCTGCTATCGCGGAAGTCGTTTTTAGACATCATTCTTCTTTGTGGCCCAGAGAATGACGTTTTCCGGATATACTGCGAGAGGAGGAGACATACATGCATCTCAGACACCACGTGTATACTATCACATTACGGCCATCTTTACTCTACGCTGTCGCTTGTATACAACAAACAGCTGTTGGTTTATTGAAACTATTCCCTCCGTACTGGTGCCATGTTTTTTGTATAGAACTATTTGCCACGTGTTATCCAAAAATCACGCAATGGAACGTGATTTTAGTTATCGTAATACTTGTAGCAACACGAAGCTATCAAACGTTCTAAGTCGATAAACGGTCCATTTTGCTGTAATTTGAAATTATTGCATAATTAATAATTTCGAATGGTAATTTATGACGAGGTGCTGTATTTGAGAAGCTCTACGTTTACGATATGGCTGCATTCTGTCTATCGCAGTAGGATAATTCCGGTAGCAGAAACGTTCGAAAAAGAGGAATAACGCTTGAATTAAAACATTAAAACTTAAGGAACAAGGGCCTGCGTTACGTGAACATCGCATTAAGAGCCGGGGCCATCATCCATACTACCAAGGTTATGGAGTAAATTCCACGAAGAATACCCTCCCAATAAGTATTTAAGTCTGCTTGTGTCATTAAAAGAGATTTAGAATGCACAATATTGGGAAAAGTATGGAGTAAATTGTATTGTATGTTTGGGTGCCGTTAGGCCCGCGTTTGGAAACCGAAAGCAAGAGAGTTACATTTTTATAATTTCGTCATTATTTTGGTCTGTACAAAATGTAATGAAAAATGTGTGAGAGGAAATTAATTCCGATTGTTGGCGTTTACACTAAGTAATCTAGGAGCGGTGTTTGATTCCGGTACCAGGACACAGTGATGTTAACATGTCTGAATAACTTTGATTTCGAATCGAAATGAAGGATATTATGTATACGGTATATGCATTTCTGTATGAGGATATTGGTGTTGTGCCGCGTCACAACTTAATTTTCATATAACCCACCCTTCTAAACATCCATTCCGTCTATATTCATTTCTACTCCGTATCACAATCTCCCCTAGTGAGATGCAGTTTCTCCCTCTGAGAATGAGTGCATGGAACGGCACGGAAAATGGATCAATACTTACTATTGGCTCTAATCATTACGCGGGGTCTTTCAGCCAATCGGAGGTCGACTTTAGGGGAGTGTGTCATTGCAATATCGGCGCGCGACTCAAACACGTTCAGCAGTAACGTTACACGTTCTGTTATTGGCTCTCACTTTCCCTGTGGGGCTCCTGAGAGCCAATGGCGGCTTACGTTGCATAGCCGTAAGACTGGCTGACTGGCCGAGTGAGGTTAGGGACGGGCAGAGTGTCGACCAGAACAGGCAGGCGGATGGCTGGTGTGTGAGTGCGTCGAGTCATGCCATCAGGCTCTTGTACTGTGTACTGGTTACCGAAGTTATCGTCATCTCCACCGCCGACACCGGCTTGTGCACCGTCCTCAGCTCGCTGGTGGTGGCACCCAGCATCGTGTTATTACTGCTTCTGCCCGCATGTCGTTGGCTTCTGGACTCTTTACCCGCCCGCCACACTCTTACACCTCCACCTCTTCACTGCGAACATGGAGACCAGGTAAATCCGCGTACAAGTGCCAGATGGTTCTGTGAGTGATATTTGTGTATTTTGGGTGTCGTAATATGTCAGAATCATCTGTTCGTTATCACTGGAGAAGGCTGCAGCGCGCCGCTGCAGTGGTTATGACGTTCTTTGTCTGCCTTCGCTACCGTCGGCTGGCCCGAAAACTTGCTGCTGAAGCATTGAATAAAAAAAAAAGGACTGGGTCGGGAAAAGAAGGGAAGCCCTCTGAAGGGTGTTTCGAAAAAGCCCTCATATCGCTGTTGGGGTGGAGTCCTTTCTCTAGCATGGTTCTGTTCAAATTCGTTTGGGTGGGGGTTAGAAGGAGAGAAGAGGTGTAGTGGAAAAGGAGAGCTAAAAAGGGATCCAGAGAGTGAAAGAGAGAGAGAGCAAGAATCGCTTTGAGGCCTTTGTTCATCTCGACGTTGCCAAAGCTTGTGAGACAGTGTTGCCCAATGAGACCCCTAACGAAACAGCTGTGGAGGCCAGCCAGATGAATAATACAGTCACAGCTAAACACATTAGACACTTCATGGGCTTCTAGAAACAATCTATGCGAAGTATTTTTGTTCCGTCCCGTAACCATGAGAATTTGAAACGCATCATTTCTAAATCCTACTCTGTCGTAAGTGTTTATGAATTGTATTGTTAAGTTCTGTGGATTAAGTACATTTTGTCAGTTTTGGTTATGTCCGAAGGTCGATCCATCATCAAAGTGGCCCTACTGAATGTCTGACCTCTGCATAGAAGTCTGAACAAAAAGATTATATTAATGAACTAACTGTCATATTGGAACGAGTCATTCATGAAATCACTGTTACTCAAAGTTTCCACCTCGACGTTCATTACTGTGTTGATACAACCCGCTATTGGTTCCTGTCCTGAGCCAGTTGAATCCAGTCCACACACTATCACTCTTCTATTTATAAGAGTCATTTTAATATTCTCCAGGGGCTGTCCAAGTGGTTTCTTTCCTTCAGTTGTTCCTGCAAAGTGTAAGCAGTTCTCATGTCTCGTGCGTTTTGTATGCCCTCATTTCTTCTTATTTGATTACACCCATGAAGAACAAAAGGTAAAACTGTAGTTTTGTGTGTTCCAATTTTTACAGTTTTTAGGTAGACTGAAGGTAAGGACTCGAATGAGAGTAAAAATTCGTGGAATTGAATCTGCTCTTAATTTTTCCCTGTTGCAGGTAGTTTGTTACTGTTGTCCGCCAAAACTACAGTTTTACCTTTAGTTTTGTATGGCTGTGAAATTTTCTCCCTCACATTAAGGAAGAAACACAGATAGAGACTTTGTCTTTTTAATTTTTATTTTTGACTCGTTACGTTTTTAAGTTCTAAGGTTTTCTAACGTCACACCGAACGTGGGACTCACCATATAGAGGCTATTTGAGCATAGGAAGCTTTTGTAAGTTCTAAGGTTTTGTAACGTCACACCGAATGGGGCTCATAATATAGAGGCTTTTGAGCATAGGAAGCTTTTGTAAGTTCTAAGGTTTTGTAACGTCACACCGAACGTGGGGCTCAACATATAGAGGCTATTTGAGCATAGGAAGCTTTTGTAAGTTCTAAAATTTTGTAACGTCACACCGAACGTGGGGCTCAACATATAGAGGCTATTTGAGCATAGGATGATTAGGAAAATATTTACATATAAGCTAGAGACAGTGACAGTGGGAGAATTCTGCATAATAAGGAACGTCATAATTTGTACACTTCAGAAACACTGCTAGCTTGATCAGATCAAGGACATGGGATGGGGACATCTAGACATGAGAAATGCGTACGCTTGTACCGGAAAACCTAAACGGGAGAAACCACTTAAGAGGGCCGTTGAAGGATAATATTAAATAGGATCTGGTAGTATGCACATCTGAGTTATCTTGCTTAGGACAGTGACAAGTTGCGAGCCTTGCGAACACAGTAATGAGAGAATTTTCTGAATAAACCCGAGAATTCATGAATCACTGCTCCACTGGGAGAGTGAGTTCTGTAGTCTGCCATCTAGTTCAGAGACCTTTACTTCAGTGTTTTTATGTTACGGTTTTACCCCGAATTCTGTTAACGGAGCTTATACATGTAGATGCTTTTGGTCTTCTCTGCCCCTTGGACTGAAGGGAAATTAATTGATTGGTAGATGAAACTAAATGCGGAAGAAAATCTGTTCTTATTTGTAAGATTAGTCACAGATTCCAAGAGCTTTGACCACCCTCCCGTTATGATACTTACAGACATAGAGCCAATAGTGGAGTAGATATCTTTCTGTTACTGGCATTGTAATCAGTAAAATGACCTACGCATTCAATGGGAAGATTTCGAGTCCCAAATTTTTGGTTTGTTTATTGTTGCTGTCCTAACTAAGACCTGTAGCGCCGGATGGTAAGATGACTAGTGAATGAAGGATGAATTGGAAACTGTGGGGGTAGACCACCGGTCTGTTTCATGATATTATTCCAGCAGTTGTCTGAAAGTAGCTACTAAAACCACGAAACTTCCGAAGGTAATCAGCGATCGAACTACTGGAAATCAGAACCGTTACCGAACTTAATGGCAGGGTTTCGAAGTCTGGTGAAAGTTTTGGTGAACATTGGCTGCCGTAGGCTTATTACCGGGTTTGAGGCGGCTCAAATGTAAAGCCATCTATAGCCGGAATTAAGAATATGGGGTCCACCCGCATAAACCACACACATCTATATGATATGTTGTGGAGCTTGAAGTTGTATAGTGTAATATTCGCTGTTTGATTCGTGCCAAAATTTTGGTCGAAAAAGCTGAAGAAAATAACTCGTGAAGAGATGAGGGGTAATATTAGAGTGGATCTTAAATGGTGTGGGAGTGTGTGGAATGCATTCATTTGGTTCAGGATAGAGACCAGTGACGGTCCGTAGTGAACATGGTAATGAACCTCCGCCTACAATGATTTTTTTTTGCTGTCTGAACAGCTTTTATTGTCTCATAAAGGATTCTGCTCCATGAAATTCATTAAGTTGGTCTCTGAACAGAACATAATGAAGTACTAACTTAAGTTCCAAGATATTGTTGATCCAAAGTAAAACAGATAGGCTCTGTTATTCATACAAGTATTATGTTTTTGGACATTATCCATCGCCTTGTCAGTTTTTTAAAAAAGCACTTCATATGTGTGAAGTTTCAGTAGTTGAATATTTTCTCACACATGGTTTGTCTTGTGCTTGGTTTATGAACTCCTTCTGAAAGTGGCATAGGTGTCCGGAGATAGGGACTAGCTCTAACTATTGGACCCAACTGAGTAGGTTTTACCTGAGGACGGGGACAGAATCCAGTCTCCGAAACGTTGTGTTAAAAAGAAAAGAAACAGGACGGGTTTTTAAAAAATAGACAAGACGAAGGATAATATCCAAAAACATAATGCTTGTAGCAATATACCATCGTCACAAACTTTTAGATCTTATTAGTCATGTTTTTTACATGACACGGTATAATAACGATTTTACATAGGACCTGAAGTAAGTTACAGCTACTCTGAGACAGTTACACGTCTTTTCATTATGTATTGAATAAGTAAGACTGTTTATGAGCCCGCGCCATAGCCCAAGCGGTTAGTCGCCGGCTTCCCACCGAGGCGGCCCGGGTTCGATCCCAGGTCTGGTTAAATGGGATCTGTGGTGCACAAAGTGGCGCTGGAGCGGGTTTTCTCCGAGTACTTCGGTTTCCCCTGCCCATCTTCATTCCACCAAATTCTCCATCATAATCACATTGGTTGGTACAATAGGCCAATCAGTGGCCGCCGTGCCGAGTGGACCCAGTTGGACTCCACCCCCCACTAAGCGAATTAAAAGAATTAAGACTGTTTATAGTTAACAGGGGGTTCCTACATATGTAAATATTTACCGCTTAACAGCGCATGTATCTGTATAAGGTTTGGACGAAACGAGCTGACTCAGCTCCGATGACATTGGCCGGGCTGTCCTAAGACATGAACCGTCTTCCCTCGCTCGAACATTGGGATCATGGGCTCGAATCCCACTCGAGGCATGGAAGTCTGTGTGCGTTTATTCTGTTTGTGTTGTTCTGTGTGTAGGTAGCGGCTTTGTGACTGGCTGATCCCCCGTCTAAGGAGTCCTACCGACTGTGTATAGATTAAGAAACTGAAAAGGCTGCCAAGGTCCATAAAGGCTGTAGTGCCATAGATAGACAGACAGACGGACAGAAAGAAGCTCACCCAGGAAGTAGTGTTTTTTACTTGTCTTCGGAAGGCGCCCGGTTTAAATTTCGGCCTACTATTCTCACTGAGGCTTTTCGTGGTTTTCCTTAGTTTTTTTTAGGCAATAATACATTGAAAGGAACCACGACCGCTTCCATTCTGGTCCTTCCCTATTAATAATTCATTAATTATTGTGTCATTGGATGCCATGCAGTTAGGTATTGACAGCATCGTTATAGTAACTGTAAATTATATATATAAATGAGTTCAGGTTATCACGACGGAAGGCTCATATTCGTTTTAATTATGACAGCTTATAGTCTGATACGTGGTTGCCAACGTTTCGAAGGAACACATTGCCTCCATCTTCAGGACAGAATTGAAGATGGAATTAATATAACATGGTTTCCTAGCATACGATTACCAACGCAGAAGACTTCTTACGAATTCAGTTTTCCTCATGTCTCTGTGCAGTCTAAAACTCACCTTCATGGCGGTCCAGTAAATACAAACACAGCTTCTGCCTATTGTTGATGTTGCTAGGGAAAGTAACCGATGAACCTCATCGCTTCCTTTGTCTCTGCCCCGCTCAAGGACGTGCCTATTTCCAGCTCCATTCACAACTGAGAGCGATCGCGCACATACCGACAGCTGCGGCAGCACTGTTCCCCTTTGTATGAGGATGTCACCCGAAGAGGTCGACGGAATATGTAGCAAATGCATTGCTTTTTTTAGTATGTTTCGACCTTGAGACTAGAATCGAGATAGAAATCGCCGGCAAATGTTGTTAGGAAACGAATCAGCTTGAAAAT